AACTGGCGCTGAACAAGCGAAAGAGAAGCAGAAAGAAAATTACGATGTGAAAGCTCGTGTTTTAGTACCTCTGGAAGCAGGGGAAATCGTTCGCATGAGATTGCCAGAAGAGCAGAAATGGTCTCTTGGAACCTGTATTAAGCAAGTTGGTCCTCGTTCGTACGAAGTGCGTTGCGGTGAAAGAACCTACACACGAAATCGGCGTCATATTAGGAAAACCGCCGAAAAGTTTCGAGATTCGGGGAGATCCTCGGATAGTGCAAAGTGCCAGACATTTTGTAAGCCAATCGTCTCTACTAGTAATTCGATGACTGGCCCGGAAGACCCAGTATTATTAAGGAGATCAACCAGAGACAGAAAACCACCGGACAGGTATCAAGCATAAGTAAAACGTATCAGGCATTGGAATTTAGGATCTAATATAATTATATATAATTTAGAGACATTAAATTTAGAGACATTAAATTTAGAGACATTAAATTCAGAGACATTAAATTTAGAGACATTATATAGGGTATATTAATTAATAAGACAATGAAACAGTTAGTTACTAGGTTATTTATTAATTTAGGGTTTGGATAAACTTTTGTCTTTGTTAAACGAGAAAGGATGTGACGATATTACCATAAACAGTAATTAGTTATGCATGATAATCACATAAATAGCGTGGTCTGTGTTAAGCCACGTTGTTGTTGTCTTGCTAGTTTAAGAAATATATTTTGTTCATATAAATCGTGTCCGCTCGCTACAGCGATTGGACAATTTAGTTTTTGAAAGTTAATAAAACAGCCAATGAAAGCAAATTTTAAAAGATATGTAGATCAAATAACTCAAAATGTTATAGCACTTCTAGCCTCCTCTGCAGGCCTCTTTATGAGTTCTAGCCTGCGAATCGGTTTTGAAAAAAAAATTTTCTGGGAGAGAGGCCTGCCATAAATCGAACAAAATGGATGTGTCAATGTACCTTGTGGCCGTGTCAATGTACCCCACCCCCCATCAAACAACAATTTGAGGAAATTATCTGGCATAATTTCGAACGCAAAACGAAGAATGGAACGATACGAAAGGTATAATTTGTTTAATAAAGGAATTATATTAAATTGTATTGTTTTCTGGAATATTATTTTGGCATGTTTATTTATATGAAGGGG